AGTTGTGAGACCTCAGGCCCAATAAATAATCTCTCTAAGCTGCTCTGTGTGTAAACTGAGGCTAACAGTCCACTCCCATGGTTCTTGGAGGACTGATAAGACAGAAAGGGACAATGCCTCGCAGGGCACCCGGCACACAGCACTCAGTGAACACCAACAACAATACACCTAGATGCTTATCATTTTGAAAGCACCTTAAATTATTCATAAGTTGGGAATAATTCATAGGTTTGCAAAAATACTATCCTCCAAGCGGCTGCTCAGCGTTCAGTGTGGGAGACTTCGTGTTCTTTCTCTTTCCATCTGGTGACCTCTCACCTCACACTGGGCATTTCTAATGGGATACAACCCAGAAACCTGATCCCATCTTGCTTCATCATTAACCGTGAAGTGTCTATCAAACGGCTATTAATAAACTCGGTCTCTGCCTGGGTCAAATCGGGGAGGACAACAGCCAGCCGAGTCCTCTTTTCCTTTATTTTGAACGACTTTGAGGTTCAAATCACCTTGTCCTGGGATAAGGAGAATTCACTCCGGAATTTCAACAGTACTCTGTTATTGTGGGCTGAAAACGTTTTACGTATTGACTCGGTTTTCTTTTGCTCCCCCATCCCCGCTTGCACGGGGCAGAGGGGACAGGACTCCTGCCATAGTGTGCCCTGTCCTGGGTCCCGGTCTGACAGCGCCCCCTAGAGGAGATCTCTGGGCCAGGGCACCAGGGCCCAGTTGACAGGGGTTAGATGCTCCCCAGGAAGGGCTGCCCTTTTACGGGGTAGGAGAGGAGCGAGCAGGGCCTGAAGGAAGCAACAGGGCAGGGAAGCGGTCCTCCCAGCGCGGCCGTACAGAAAGCCTCAGTCCACCAGTCTGAGGTCTATAGACACTGTTACTCCACGTTGCTCCAAAAAGCAATCCAGCCTGCGATTGCAACGTGGTGGAGCTGGACTCCTACACCGGTTACCTCCTTCAGGGGTTTCAAACTATCCTGCAGGGAGCCCTGGGGCGATGTGGAGAGGAGGGTGGGCTGGCAAGGAAGTGGTTAATGTGAGACAGGAAAGGGAGTTTGAGAAGGGAGGGCACCACGCTCGCCCACATTGCACCTTCGCAGGTTGCCCCATTTTTACTTCATTTATATGGAGGGCTCTGCAGAGATTTTCGTTGATAGCGAGGGCTCCATGTTGGGGAGTGCAGGGGCTAAAAACCATGATCAGGCCACACCTTGGGCCGCAGCTGGAACACACAGTCGCCCTGTACAGACAGCACCAAAAAAAACCCCTCTGGATGAACAATTTTCAAAAAGGGGGGCCCCACCTCCCGCCCGTCCCAGCTGGCCTCAGTCCCAGAGCCCAGCAGGCTTGGGGAGCGGAGCGCAGGCTGGACTTCCACCCCCAGCAGCCACTGAGCCAGCTCCCTGTGCAGCCCACAAACCACAGAAGCCTGCACAGCAGCGCTGCCACGTCCTCAGTCTACGAAAGCACCCGACCAGGCTTGTCTCAGATGCCGCGTCCCGCATGAATAATCATGAGCTTGGCTGCCTCGGAGTGGGCACCCAGCACTTGCAACTGCACACACAGTCTCATGTGATCCGCAGATGGCTTGGTATGGGGCAGGTGTCACCGCTCCAAAGTTACAGCAGGCCTGCTCAAGGTCCCACCGCAAGCCTAGAACTGAGACCTCCAGACTCTTCAGATTCTGTGTTCCTCTCCTACTGAATATGACTCTCCCTCGAGAGTCTCGTTCTCTTTATCCTGGTTATAGTGAACTCCTCAAAAGTTCAGAAGCAACCCTCCTGTGCTGCCTTGCTGCCCCTGCCATAGGAGATGTCACATCCTCTGCCCTCCTTGAGTCTCTGCTACAGACCTCGGACCAGGAAGGTCAGCAGTTGTGTTCCAGTAATGTCCAGGAACACTCTGCTTTCATGTCAGTCCTGTTTAAATAAAAATACATTAGGTGGGGCCGGCCCAGTGGCACAATGTTTAAGTGCACACATTCTGCTTCAGCAGCCCGGGGTCTGCCAGTTCTGATCCTGGGTGTGGACATGGCACTGCTCATCGAGCCACGCTGTGGCAGACGTCTCACATATAAAGTAGAGGAAGATGGGCATGGATGTTAGCTCAGGGCCAGTCTTCCTCAGCAAAAAGAGGAGGATTGGCAGAAGTTAGCTCAGGGCTGATCTTCCTCAAAATAAATAAATAAATAAATAAAAATTTTTTAAAAGACATTAGGTAATTTTATTCCAAACTTTGCTTATTATTTACTTATGTCTTTATCAAAGCCAAAAAGGATCTCAAGCAGCTTAGAAAGAAAAAAGAAAATCAGGTAATAGAACTGTCTGAAAACAGATCAAAAGCCACGAAACAGAGCAGGATTTAGGCTGCTGGGAGGGAGTGGAGAGAATATTCCTGAAATCTACACTTTGGATCATCCTGCATCTGAGCAGTAAACAAAACCCTGCCCCGGGCGGCCAGGGCCCTCGAGGAAGAGGAGCCACAGGGCTCCGTGTCTGACAGAAAAACCACAACAACTTGTCACCACAGACACACATCCAAGCACCTGAGAGGAGGGGGTTTACGGGGCCTCAGACCCCGTGGGGGAGACAATAACAGAAGGACAGCGTCTGACCCCCTGGAACCTTGGGCACAGGCATCCTCCAGGTCACTCGCATGGGATGGCTGTGCTCTTTCTGGTGGACACATGCTCTGCTCATGGCACCCAGGCTACGGCCATCCACCCCAATCCTGTGCCTTTAAATCAGACCAGCCCTCCCACAAAACACACCAGGCACCCGTCCAGTGGCCAGCATACACCAGCCTCAGGTGTTCCAGAATAACTCCTTTCATCCCAGCCTTCCTCCTTCCCAGAGCCTGTCCATCCTAACGTCTGGCCTTTGTCCCCATTTCACCCTTGGGCCTAACTACAGAGCCATCTCCAGATTGTTCCCAGGTCCACCCACATGGGGTTCCTCCCTCTCCAAGTGCAGCCCACCCCCACCGGGTGGTGCTGAGGATGGTCACATGGTAAGTACTAGGACTGGGGTCAGGGGAGCCCCAGCACATAAATGAAGACCAGACTAGGCCAAAGGCCACCAGCAAATGGTAAAGGCCTGGGTGTGCTCACCTCGCCACCTCGTTCATTCATCTGTCCCTTCCACAGATGCCAAGCACTTGCTGTGTGCCAGGGACCAGTCTCGGAATAATTACAATAAAAGTTAGAGTGTGCCAAGTTCCAAAAGGAAGTTGGTGGTTGAGAATGCAGGCGTCGCTCCCAGCTGGGGCTGCGAGGCAAAGGCCAGGCCTTGAAGGATCAGTGGACCCCCGAGGGGGCAAGCCCTCCCCCAGGTTCTTGTTCATTGAGAGTAAGCCATGAAAGAAGAAATGAGGTTGGATAAGCAGACAGCGAGAAAGCTGAAGGAACGAGAGCGATGAGACAAGGGAAACATCTAGAAAGAGAAACAAGAGCCAGTATAGTTCCAATCCAAATGCAAAGAGGAGTTCAAATTGGTATTTGAATTTACACACATTTCTTGCATGGAAGGTCAGGATATTTTAGTCTTAGCTCTATAGACACGCCTAGAAAACAGCCCTAGTGCTGTCTTGGGGGGTTCGGTCTCCCCATCTGCAAAATGAGGGGTCGCACCAGATCTGGAGTGCTTAAACTCTGTATTTCACGGACTGAAGTTACATTTCTAGGCCAGACCTCTTCTCTGGATTCCAGCCTCAAACATCCACCTGCCTTCTCAACACGCATCTCGATAGTAATTTGTCCAAACTGAGCCACTGCTCCACCCACCCCCATCCCCACCACATCTGGCCAAACCTTTCCAGACAACTCCATCGTCCCAGCTGCTCAGGCTGTGTCCTGATCCCTGTCTTCTCACTCCTCACATCCAATTTATCATGGCACCCTGTCAGCTCTGCCTTCAGAACATTTCCAGAAACTTCTCACCCCTCCACCGCAACCTCCCTGGTCCAAACCACCATCGCCTCCCACTGAGATTATTGCAACGGCCTCCCAATTGGTCCCAGTGCTTTTGCCCTGCCAGCCTGGGGCCCAGGAGACTGGTCCCCCCAATATGCACACTCCAAGGCATGCCTCAAATGCCCCCATGACTTCCCGTCTCACCCAGAGTCAAGGCCAACACCCTTATGATGCTCGGCCAGCCCCACCCCTCCCTCGCTCTGACATGATCACCTCCTGTTCTCTTGGCTCCAGCCACACCGGCCTCTTTGCTGTTCCTCAGACCTGACAAGATGCCTCAACCTCAGGGCCTGGACTCCTACTGAGCCCTCCACTCTCACCCTCACCTCCTTTATGTCTTTGCTCAAATGTCACCTTCTCAGTGAGACCTGCCCTGACCTCTCCATTGAAGGCTGCATCACCTCCCCTCTGTGCTCCCTGTCACCCTCTCCTGCTTTATCTCCATCACCCCCTCTCCATCCGGCCCATGTTTTACTTATTTGTTTGCTTGTTCTAGTCTCCCTCTCTTAGAACGTGAGCTCCCCGGGGGCAGGCATGTTCATCCATTTTATTGGCTGCTCCATCTCCAGTGCCTAGAAGGATGCCTGCCACACAGTAGAAGCCTGGTGAATACTTATTACTAGAATGAATAAATGAGTGAAGACAATAATCGTTTATTATTTTCATTTGGGAAGCATGCGTGGTGATGGATATAGAATTGTCAACTTTTTAGCATTAAGTATCAGGAGGGAAGAGGGGAGGGAGGGAGAAAGGAAAGTGCCATCTCATCATTTTGTAAAAGAAAGATACTCCTGAAAATAGGAAGTACATTCTCTCAGGATAAATAATAATCTTTCCTAAGAAAGTTGAGTGGGTGAACTCACAGCAACACATACACCGCACAGCTCTGTCCTGATCTCTTCTTTCGCTGTGCATCAGTGAAGAAGTTGGTAGTGACACCCACCCATCCCCACTGTCACCCCCAGAACCCTCCAGCTCTGCGACACTATGTTTCTTCCTTGAAAAACACAAAGAGGGCCACTTACCCCCGGCTGGCCCTGGCTCCAGCAGACACACCTGCTTAGGTCAGAATCATTCTTGGCCCTGGCAAAAGGTGAGGTTTCCAGCTCCAGAGGCCAGCTCGGATCCAGGGCCACCACTCAGACAGCGAGAGCTGGTGTGACGCCAGCCTGTGGTTCACAAACTTAACAGTTCACATTAAATTTTTAGTGACTTATACTTTTCCCGCAGATCCTATGACATTTTTCATGCAGCTGCTAAGAGAAAATAATAAATAAGACTCTTTACAAACCTTGCCTCACTTATCCTCACCATAAGCCAGCAAAACAGGTTTACAAGCCCTGATTGCAAAGACAGCGAACACGTGGCTCAGGGAGGCTAAGAGCAGCTTCGTGGGGGTGGGGAGGGAGGCGGCGGCGGCGCAGGCTGGGAGCACCTGGAGGGGTCTGGCCCCATCCTCTCTCCTCTGCAGAGGCCAGGGGGCAGGAGTTAGGGGCAAGGACATGTGCACCTGCCACTCTCCCAACGAAAGGCAGCCCAGACCTCTCTGTTTCTTTCTTCCTTCTCAGCCCCCTGTTGCCATCCCTCAGGGTCAGCAACAAGCCTACCTGCCACTCCCTGAGCTGCCTCACTCCAGTGGCTCCTGCCTCTGTACATGGAGCCCCCATGTCCAGACCTCCTGGATGGAGCACCCCTGGTCCAGCCTGTTCTCTCCCGCTTTCTGCCTCATAATCTGGGCCTCGAAGAATGGGTAGGACTATGATCAGCTGACAAGGAGAAGGATCAGGTGGCCTCTCCAGGCCTCTGGTCAGCGATGACAAAGGAGTCCAGGTTGCAGACAGACGCTCTGGACCAGTGGGGCCCAAATTCCAGACCCCGAATCTACAGGAGCTGGAGGTGGCAGGATGGGTGTGGGGTTCTGATGGTCACCTCCCTGGAGACCAGCGAAGACAATTCGCTCAGCGCCTCTACAGAAAGGCACGGGGCTGGGCAGCACATGGTCATGGTAGGAGAGAACGGAGCCAAGAGAAGGAAGGGGAGGCTAGCCTTTGAGAGGCCTTGAATGCCGAGCTAAAACATCTAGAGGAAAACTACACTCAGAATCCTCTTCCGAATTGGGAGACAGGGGTCCAGATTCACGCATTTCCTCCTTGCAGTTCACTGAGACCAAAGGTCTGAGCGTAAATGACGTGATTTTTCACCATGATATTCGATAGCTGTCGGTAACAGCAGGCTACCTTTTTTCACGTTTAGTACTATTATTAATATTTACCAAGTACTTGTTAGTATCATATTATTAGGTATTGTAAGCCCATTTTACAGATGAGAAACTAAGGCTCCAGAGAAACAAAACTTATAAGAGGTAAAACTGGGGCTGGAGCCCAGGCCCCGGGGCTCCTGTCTCCAAACCTCAGCCCACCCCACTCCCCCCGCTTCGCGCTGGATCCCCATATTTGGCCTGTGACTGCTTGCTTGCTTTCACAGGCCAGGTGCCTAACCAAGATGAGTGTCTAGCTAAAGAGCAATAAAATCCCAAACAGCCTGAGGAAAACACCTGCAGACTCACCCTGAGGGGAACGCCCTGTCCTCTCAGCCCAGCCTCCTCTCAGGCTGAGCCCTGGGCCCAGAAGGCTTCACCCCGTGTGCTTTGTTTATTGAAATCCTACTCTTCCCCAAGGCCTGGCTCCAATGCCAGCTTCTCAGGGACGCCTTCCTGGCCCCACCAGTTGGAATTCCTCCTGCTCTGTGCCCCTGTGAGCTTGGCAGCTGGCCGGGTGCAGGCCTACCCACTCACATTCTGCCCTGGCCTCCTGCGCAGGCACCAGGTCTCACCCAGCTCTCTGAGCCCCACAGGGCTCCGCACACACTCAGGGCCCCCAGTCTCTGGGAATGGTCATGGCCAAGGCTGCAGGTAGATGGTGCCAACTTAACAGGTGCCTCTGAGGGCTCACAGCACTGCCAGATGTCCTTTCGCAGCCCCAGGAAGGAAAGCACCCCAGGAGATGTGAGCCACTTTGACCCTGCCTGGAAGCAGCCAGCCCAGCCCCGGGCTCCGGGCCACAGCGGCTGCAGCCCCTGCCTCTCTGTCCTGCTGGGCCAGCTCTCCCGCAGCCTCCTCCTAAGCTTTCCTGCATCACGGTCAGTCCATCTGGGCTGCCGCCTCAGTTTCCTTTGTGTTCCAGTTCTGCTTTGCTGAAGCCCTCCTCTGGGCCTGGCCTTCCTCTGTCCTCAATGGCTAGTCCTGGACTCAGCTCCCCACAGCAGAAGGAGGCTGCACAGCAGGTGAGACTCTTCCAGACATGGCCACAGGTCTGTCCCAAGCCCGAGTTCCCGAGCTCCTTCAGACCCTGCACCCGGGGGGTGGACACCCTACAGGAGCCAGTGCTGTTGCTCCAGAGTGCAGCAACTCCTCCCCCCCTTCTGCCATGGAGGCCTGCCTCCCCCAGGGAAGAAAGTCACAGCTGCGACACGGCAGGGAATCCAGGCCACACTGGGGCAGCTCAGGGGCCTGGAGGACTTTAGCCTGTGGTTTTAGAATCCAGCACCCAGGCCGGCGTGGAGGTTGGAAGAGTTACGGAATAAAAAGGGACAAGAAGGGGATTTGAAATTCTTTCTGTGGCTTAATTATAACGAGCCTTCAGGGAGATGAAGCACGACCTCTGTTTACAAAGTTCCTAGGCTCCCCAAGTGGCGGGACAGTTGGCGTTTTATTGTCTTATTTATACTTTGCTCTATATTCTATATCTTCTGTAATGAACATGCTGTCATCATCAGGAAAAATAAGTAATCATCAAAAAATACAAGCAGAAAACATGTTGTCAGAGCTCCCTGGGGTCATGCATCTGCAGGTGCCCAGGATGATGGAACGAGGGCTGTGCTGGTACCCAGAGACCTGGCCTCCTATCTCCTACCAGCCCCCTGAGCTGCTTCACGCTTCACACCCTCAGCTTCCTCAGCTGTCAAATGGGAATGACAGTGTCTGCCTGGGATGCACAAGAGACTCCTGAGATAATAAGACCCACGTCTTGGGGCTGCGGAGAATATGGGTCACTGTAGTGGACATGCAGGCCTCACGAGAGAGCAGTGCTGCCCACGTGGGGGAGCAGGTGCGCTTCTCAGTCAGCACAAGCCGCTCAGTTTAAGAGACATTCCAGGAATGGCAAGAAGGCACAGCCATCTGAATCCCCAACTAACCACACAACTGGTCTATTTAACCAGAGCGTGGGATTGTTGATCTGTACAGCGCTCCTGGGAGAGGCCCCATTCTGTCCTCAGGCGATGGAGGGAGGATCATTGGTCAGTCCCAGGTCACTCTGCTGCAAGCATCTGTCCACTCAGGAAATACTTGCCCAAAGGGCTGAGCAGCAGATGGTGGCAGAGGCTGCAGCAGAATCCCGGTCCCCTTCTTCCTCTGTGCCCCCACTGCATCTCAGCCCGAGCACCAACAGCAAGCCCCCAGCAGGGCCTCCTGCCCTGAAGGGAAAGGAGCCTGCCTGAGGATGAATGTGACTGAGTGACAGGTGACAGGTGCTGCGGAACCAGCAGCCAGAGGCTCTGTCTGCCTCGTGCGTGCCACACCCCTCACTCTATTTTCTTAGGATGCAGAGAGTCCCAGGCTCTCTCTGCTTCCAACGCTGGGGAACCCTGTGGGGCCAGCCTGGCCTTCTGCCGCTGCAGATCCAGGCAGAGCATACAGGGTGTCCCTGATGCCATTTGGGGCGGGGTTTAACACATGACCCTCACTGCAACTCAAACCATCTCTGAGGAAACAGCGAGGCCCGAATTCTAGCCGAGGCCTCGCCCTCCGCACCCACTTCCACTTCGGGTTATCTGAACACCCTCTACTCCTGCTTTGGGGTTTTAAGTGAAAACAACTACTTTTGAACAAAAGCCCGGGCATCTAGGATAAAATCTAAAAAAAGGCAGGACGGTACAGCCGCTGGCTTTGGAGTTGAGTGGAGCCACAGCACACACATCACAATCCCTGAGACACACTGGTTCAGTGACAGCACTGGGCGAGTCACTTCAACACTCCGGGCCTCTCCTCCGGCCAACATGCAAACATGAAGCCAAAGCGAGTTCCTAGCACGGCACTGGGGCGGGAAGCCCTCAGAAAAACCCCGCGGCCCTGTCTGAGGATCAGAGCAATCACTACCTATTTTCCATCCAAGGCAAAGAAAAATGCCTTGAATTCTTGAACAATTTCTCACACCTCTTCTATAAATGCAGCCTCCTAACAGGAGCCCCTGAGGAGTAGCTGGTTCTAACCCTTATCTGGAGAAATGTGTATGCACGAATGCTAAATGCTCCCCTCTGGGGGCAAAGGATCCCACAGGTCTCATCAGCGCTCCTCCCCTGGGGGTGGCAGTTTGCAGATGGCCACACGCAGCCCTTACCCAAGACCAAGGTGAATCCGGGCGGCTCTTGCCCTGAGGGGGCTCCCAGGTGGAGCCACAGGTGCGGTCCTGCTCCTCCATGGCGGGGCCTAGGGATGCTGGCCTTCCCCACACCCCACACCGGGAGAGCAATGTCCCGCAGTGGCTAATTTCGCCAGCTCAGGAGCTGGGAGGCTGGGCCACGACACTGAGTCCCGGGCAGGCGGTTTCCCTTTACACCCCAGGAGCCCGGCCAAGTCACAAGGCTCAGGAAAAGAGCAGAGTGTTAAATTGCAAATCCTCTCTCACCTGGGGACTGGCTAACAAACAACACAGAGACACTTTCTGCGCCCTGAAAGATGCAGAGACTTCAGCAGAGGCCAGTTTCTACAAACTTGGTGAAAGGGGGATTGGGTGAGGGGGCATGACCCCCATTGGCAGACAGAATTTATGTTCATTCTCTCTTCATCACCTCTCTAAGGTACAATGTGTAAGACTCAGAGACTGACTAACTTCTCTAAGGCCACACAGCTCTAAAGGACAGAATCGGGATTGAAACCCCAGAGATCTGTCTCCAGAGGGGAATTGACGGGAGGAGGTGTTGAGGGAGACACCACCTCCTGTGCTGGGTGAGGGAACCTTGCAAAGGCCGTGCAGACAGTAATCCACTCACTTTCGACTCCACCGCTTGTTCCCACAAAAGCTACAAAGAATCCTTTCTTTCTGTTTCTCAAGTCTCCATTCCTCTGAGATGCCTCGACCCACGTCCGCGAGTCTGGAAAGCTGGGTTCAGTGGGCTTCCCATCCCCCAGTGGGCTGCCATCACCACCTCCGTCACGCTTGGCAGCATCAGCCATCACAACAGCTTGCCAATTCTGGATACTTCCCACATACCAGGAAGCTAAGCATTTAAGCTGTATTCTGGTGTATAATTTGCACAGCAACCCTATAAGGTTACCAACAGAAAATAGGAGCTTAAAGAACTGCCTTTGGGTTACAGAGCGGGAAGAGGCAAAGCAGGGCCGGGTTGACTTCAAAAACAGTGCTCTGCAATCTGATTCTGATTCTGCTGGGGTCTTGGATTCGGGGTGATGAGGCGGGGCTCCAATGAGCCCAGGTTTTAAAGGGACCTGCAGCAGGGTGGGAGAGAGGGAGGGCACACAGCTCCGGCTGTTTGTGGGCGAGGCTGGGAGCAGAGGCAAGAGTGGGTGCAGGGGCTTCAGTCTGGTAGTTTGCAACTTGTCTGCTAAGACCCACCGCCTCTTGACGTCTTTCAACTCCCCCCGGTGGGCTGGGTGAAGGTCCTCTCTGGTTCTCCAACTCCTCCCCAGCCAGGCCTTTTCCAGTTTCACTGTGTTCACTCCTCTTCCTCCTTCCTCCAGAGGAGGCCCTGACCAAGAATCATCTGGAGTCGCGGTGGAGTGAGGTGGAAGAATACAGGAAGGTGCCTGGCGTGTCTGATCTGATGCAATGGGCATTATTACCCTCCTTTTACAGGTTCAGGGCTCAGCGGCTCCCCAGGTACTGCATCTAGCAAGGAGCAGAGGGAAACTCGATCCCAGGCCTCCGAGTTCCCAGGTCACCGCGATCCTAGCCCTGCCTTCCTCACCCTGGAAAAGCTCAGAGAGCGCCAGGGAGGGAGCGCTGCGCACAGCCTCAGAGCCGGGTGCCCCGCCCCGGAATAGCTCCCGTAGTCTGAAGGCCCTGAAACGTGCTTCAGGGCAAGGGGAAATTAACAAAGCCGGGTCACCACCATTCTTACTATTTTTAATTCATGCTGCCAAGATATTTTAAGAACCTCCTGACAACAGAGTGATAAGATGGCAGTAATTATACCTGGTCACGGTCAGGATTTAGCCAGAAATCTGATAGAAGCACAGTACTGCACAGGCAGGAGCACCTCCGAACGTGTCATAGTATCGATTAGTAAGGGGCAGTGGGCGTGCAGCCTCCGCGGTTCCCGTAGGAAGGGGCGGGGGGCGTGGTCCTGGGGGCTCCGGGCCCAAGCGTGTTTCCCAGCTCCGCTGGCAGCAGGGGTTGGAGACAGGGCCATCCGGCTGACACGTGTCTTGCTGCTATGTTGGGCCCTGAGAGCCAGTGCTGGTTTGGCTGGTGCGCCCAGGAATGGGGCCGTGAGCGTTGACGGGGCTCCAGACGCTCTGCGTGGTAGTTAAATCTCACAATCTGAGTCACACGGACCCGGGCTCTGGGTCTGACTCTGCCCCTTAGAAGCTGTTCTGACTCAGGCCAACTCACTCAGCTTCTAAGAGCCTTCGTGTCCTTATCTGGGAAACGCGGGGATAAAAATAGAGCCTCTCCCTCATAGGGCTGTGGTGGGGATACTTGAGGCCACGCACCCAGAGTCCTTGACGCCACGCCTGGCATGCATTAGACCCTCAAAAAGCAGCAGCAACTATTAATCCTCAAAATAACTTTGAGTTAGGCATTAAGAGCTCCATTTTACAGACGAGAAATCGAGCCTCTGTTTTATTTTGGACTTCCGTCAGCTGCGCACTCTAACGGTTCCTGCAATAGATCTCCTGAGGACTCTGTCGCTGCCCCAAGGGACTGTGGCCAGCACCAGGGTGAATTTCCCTTGAAACACTTCCCCTGTGTGTCCTGGTGGTGCAGCATCCGCAGGACACCCCTTTGTCCCCGGCTGCCAGGCCCGGAGTCTGGGAGTCACCTGATAGCCCCCAAGAGCTCTGTGATTCTCCCATTTCCCGTCTTCCCCCAGCTCATGCTGACCCCTGCCTGGAATGCCTTCCTCCTCCTGTCTTCTTTTTCAAATTTGCCCGCATTCTAGGCCCAGGCCAAACCTCCTTCCTCCATGGAGCCTTCCGTGATCTCTCCATGGCTTTTCCATCCTTTGACAGGAGGGAAAGGATGAGGTTGGGACAGACATTGCTGAGCTCCCCCATGTGCCCAGTGCTTTTCGCACACACATCATCTCTCTCTCATTCTCAAGGTTAGGGGATATTTCCCAGAAGAGGAAATAGGCTCCGAGGCTCACCTGGCCAGGAAGAGGTGGCGCTCAGAGAGAGTTGTCACTGTCCACTCCCTTTGCTCGCCACTTAGAGGGTGCCAGGGGAGGGCGGGTCCTGGTGAGTTTACATCTCATCGTCTCAGCCACTGGAGGGACCCCTCTGACACGGTCCCGGCCTTAGTCGTCTTCAGCTCCAACAGGACATCGCACAGTGGAGAGGACACAGCATGGGGAAAAAGTCACATCAAGCTTTTTTTTTTTTTAATTAATAAAGTTCATTCTTTTACAGCAGTTTAGGTTCACAGAAAAATTTATCTGAAAATACAGAGAGTTCTCATATTCTCTCTGTCCCTCACCTGCACAACATTCCCCACCACCACCTGCCACCAGATTAATACATTTGTTACAACGGATGAACCTACGTTGACGCATCATTATCACCCATAAGCCCATCACTTGCATTAGGATTCGCTCCTGGTGTTGTACATTCTGCTGTTTTGAGAAATGTGTGATGACATGTGTCTACCACTGCAGGACCATACAGAGTAGTTTCACTGCCCTAAAAATCCTCTGTGCGCCACCTAGTCATCTCTCCTTCCCCCCATGTCTTTTAGGGCTTGACAGCTGATTTCCTTTTAGCGCTGAATGACACTCCGTTGTCTGGATGGACCACAGTTGGTTTATCCATTCATCTACTGAAGGACATCTTGGTGGCTTCCAAGTTTTGGCAATTATGAATAAAGCTGCTATAAACATTTGTGTGTAGGTTTTTGTGCGGACATGTTTTTCAACTCCTTTGGATAAATACCAAGGAGTGTGATTGCTGGATCAGACAGGAAGAGTATGTTTAGTTTTGTAAGAAACCAGCAAACTGTCTTCCAACGTGGCTGTACCATTTGCACTCCCACCAGTGATGAATGAGAGTTCCTGTTGCTCCACATCCTCACCAACATTTGTTATTGTCAGCGTTCTGGATTTTGGCCATTCTGATAGGTGTGGAGTGGTATCGCTTGGTTGCATTTCCTTGATGACATATGATCTTTTCATAGGCTTATTTGCCATCTGTGTCTCTTCTTTGTTGAGGTGTCTGTTCAGGCCTCTGGTCCATTTTTTTAATCGAGTTGTTGTTTTCTTATTGCTGAGATTTTAGAGTTTGTGCATATTTTGGATAACAGTCCATCATGCACACACACTACATCCACTAAGGTCCCAGTAGAAAACAGACTGGATGCTCAAGCTGGATCCTCGAGGAGGCCCTAATAAAGGGACTGTTCACAAGGACACGGGCAGGGTTGAGGAAGGCCAGCAGCGGCTGGTGAGGCAACAGGGCCAGGAAGAGGAGGTGCTGAGGCCATCCTTGGGTCAAGGAGAGAGGGAGGGAGCAGCGACCTGAGCCCGGGTGTGGGAGGCAGGATACCGGCCCCCACGGTGCCTGTGTCCTAAGCCCCAGGACCCGAGAACGTGTTACCTTAGGCAGATTTCCTTACATCTTCCACCACACTGCACGGCAAAGAGGGATTAAGGTTGCTAGCCAGCTGCCCATAAAATAGGGAGACTATCCTGGATGATCTCCAAACAATAACCTGAATCGTTACCCCATACCTTCTTCTCCCACCACTTCAGAGCTTGGAGCATGCCTGACATGACCCCCTTTCACTGCAGCCTCTGCCCTTGCCGTGTTTATCCGGGTGGGTCTGATATAATCACAGGGTTGTTAAAAGGGGAAGGGGAGGCGGAAGAGAAGCAGAGACAGTAGTGTGAGAGGGATTCAGCCTGACTCTTTGAAGATGGAGGAGGGGACCATGAGTCAAGGAACGCTGATGGCCTCTGGAATCTGGAAAGGCAATGGAATAGATTCGCCCCTGAAACTTCCAGAAGGAATGCACCCAGCCAACACCCTGATTTTAGCTCAGTGAGACCTGTGTTGGACTTCTGACCTACTGAACTGTAAGTTAATTAATTTGCATTGTTTTAAACCACTATGTTTGTGGTAATTTGTTACAGCAGCCACAGAAGACTAATACACTGAGAGAGTAGCCGGAGGAGAGGGTCATCCTGCAGGACCTTTGGCTGAAGGTGTCAAGGGTGTGGGCCTGTCCATGGTGATACAGCGGGGAGGAAGTCAGAGGAATAAGTACCTCGAACTCTCTCTCCTCACGCTTTCTCATCCTCTACCACTGGCTGAACCCAGCCAGAGGCCAGAGAGCTCACAGCAGAGTGGGGAAGAGTGGATCTAGAGAGGGAAAAATGAAGGGAAGACCTGTGTGTGTGTGTCTTTCTGAGTCTCTCTGTCTCTCTCTCTCACACATACACACACACACACAATGACTCCCTGTTGTTCCCGTGAAGGTAAACTCTGTTCCGCTGAGTCAGAAAATCCTACCATGACTCACTCCTGGAGTGAGGGGAACAGGGAATTAACCGTCTTTTTTTCCCCAAGGTTAAAGTAGCAAATAATCTCTCCAGGTCATTTGTTGGCATCAGGACCAAAAGCTGCAGAGGGATTGGATACTGCCTTAGTCAGCTTGGGGGCCATAACACAATCCCACAGACCAGGAGGCTTAAACAAGAGAAATTCGTTTTCTCACAGTTCTGGAGGTTGGAAGTCCAGGATTAAGGGACCGGCCAGTTGGGCTCCTGGTGCACCTCTGCCTGGTCTGCAGACAGCCCCTCCTTGCTGTGCCCTCACATGGCAGAGAGAGTGGGCATGGGGGGCTCTGTGCTGTCTCCTCTTATAAGGACACTAATCCTATCTATCAGGGACCTACTCTTACGACCTCATTCAACATTAATTACTTCCTTACTCCAAATACCGTCACACTGAAGGTTAGGGCTTCAACACAGGAATTTTGGGGGACACAAATCAGTCCATGGCAGAAGCCCTATTGATGGAGTCTCGCATGCAACAGGCAAGAAGGTTAGGAACCTGGGCACAAAAAGCAAGCAAAGAGTCCTGGCCTCAGAGACCCCCCTGGCCTGGCCAGAAAGCCCTGTCAACACTTCACTGCCCAGACAGCCAACAGCAGAGCATGCTCCATCTCTGGCATCTCCGGACTCAGAACTGCTGCTCCACCATAACTGCCCACACGTGGTGGAGCCCTCCGACGCTGACCAGCTCTGAGTTATTTGCTACCCCATTAAAGATGGAGTAATTTAGTCTGACCTGTGGTAAAACAGGAAAGCTAAGGTTTGATTTTACCATAGACGGTGGAAGATAACAAGGGTCAGAGTCTTCCGATACAGGTGGAAACCAGTCCTAACAGAAGCGAGGTTTTGTCTTTATACAGAGGCAAAGTTACGTTCTCTTGGGTACTGAAGAAGCAAGCTCTAGGCTCAAGCATCCACACGCGGAGTCACTCCCTGGGAAGGGTTTCAGGTTAGGGTGACCATGAACGAGATTTACAGCCAGAGGCAAGCCAGTCAGTCTGCTCTGGTCCCCAGGGGGAAGACAGGAATCCCGAGCCCTCTGCACACCTCTGCAGGGGGAGCCCGCTGGGGGAGTCGGTGGGGCTGACTCTCCCTCCCTTCCACATTAACTGCTTTACACATTAAACGTTCTGCAGGCCTCCTCTGATCTGGCTGGAGAGGACCATCCACAGAAGATACAAAAGAAATTCTCCTCTTTCCACATGACAGAGGATGCTCATCTTGAGCTGTCCTAAAGACAACAATACCTCTTTCATATCTTTGACACACAGTCCCACCCCATATGGTGCCACAAATGAAAAACCAGAGACTGCCCCCCTTTTCTTTGAGCTTCCCTGCTGTGTAGGAGTTAAAGGTTTAACTTCCTGTAGTGACAGCCTGGGGACTTCAATTCAGATGCTTCCTATCTGCTCAGCACTCTAACCTAAACGGTAAGAAAAACAGGTCGAAATATTATCACCCCTCCTTGTCAGGTGAGTAACTAAGACTAAGGGAGACTGATGGCTTGCCTGAGACACACAGCTAGAGCCAAGGCCTGTCCTCACATCCTCCGGCTCCACCCCATGTGCTGTCCACTGGCCCAGCCCGGCCCTCAGAAGACGAAGGACTTGGAGGACTCTTCCAAGGGAAGCAGGAACTTGCCTTCTCCCAGGTCCCACAGGCCTTAGGGAGCTACATGAAACCCAGTAAAATGTTAAAAATGTATTAATACTGGTTATTTGCTTCAAAGAAAATTTGGCTAAAACTCATAGGTATGGAATCCTTGTTATGGACTGAATTGTGTCCCTCCAAAATCCATATGTTGAGGCCCTAGCCCAACATGACTGTGTGGTTACCCATGCAGATGGAAGATTACACGATCACTGGGCAACCGCAACTCGGCTGGAGACAGAAGGTCAGGAGACCTGGTTCTGCCCCAAAAAACACCAGGGGCTCTAAGGGGGGGATGAGGCCTCTGCAAGGGCCTCGTAGCTCTGAGGTGCTGGCGTTTATGACAGTGTAGGAAAGAGCCCAGTGAAAGGTTTTAAAACATGTTGAACACATTTCTTTTCACTTTCTCCTGCTGCTCTATGAGAGTGACATCCTTGAAGGACGGGGAGAGCATGATACCATGAGGATGCATCTGCCAGGGACAGAGTTCCTCAAGGATAAAAGTGCAGCCTTGAAACAGCCCTTTAGCAAAAAGAATAACAGCTGAAAACTGTTGAAACGTTGGCAAATTCTTGGGCAGTTGTCTCTGGGTTGCACATAGACAGCAACACAGCACATAGGCCTAGGCACATGGTACATAGGTCTGGAACTTTCCCACAGACTCACTCATTTATTCTTCACAGAGACTCTGTAATGTGGATAATATTTCTAAAATGCAGAAAGGAGTTGAGAGAGGTTAAAAAACTTGTCTAAGGTCACACAGCTAGTATGTGGTGGCATCTGGCCCAACTCATATCTATCTGGTCCCAAAGGAACCTACTTTACAGCCCGCGCGTGCTTCCCTGAACTGAACTGAACCTAGAAATGTGAACGCGGCTCGCAGGCTCCCACTCGCAGTCCCACGTTTGCTCAGGGGCACCCTTCGGGGGCGTGTCCTCCCGGTTCTGGAGGTTCCCAGAGAGGAGGAGGCCCTCGCCAACTGGGCAGGTCGCCCGGTCTCCGGGCAGTGAGAGGGAGGGAGCGCAGCCGCGGGAGCGGGATGGAGACCAGCAGCCCGAAGCCCCCGAGGCCCAGTCCGGGCCCGGCGCTGAGCCTGGACGCCCGGCTGGGCGTGGACACGCGCCTCTGGGCCAAGGTGCTGTTCACCGCGCTCTACGCGCTCATCGTCGCCCTGGGCACGGCCGGCAATGCGCTGTCCGTGCACGTGGTGCTGAAGGCGCGCGCCGGGCCCCCGCGGCGCCTGCGCTCCCACGTGCTCAGCCTGGCGCTCTCCGCCCTGCTGCTGCTGCTGGTCAGCGCGCCCGTGGAGCTTTACAACTTCGTGTGGTTCCACTACCCCTGGGTCTTCGGCGACCTGGGCTGTCGCGCTTACTACTTCGTGCGCGAGCTGGGCACCTACGCCACGGTGCTCAGCGTGGCCAGCCTGAGCGCCGAGCGCTGCCTGGCCGTGTGCCAGCCCCTGCGCGCCCGCCGCCTGCTGACGCCGCGCAGGACCCGCCGCCTGCTGTCGCTCGTCTGGGCCGCCTCGCTCGGCCTCGCCCTGCCCATGCCCATCATCATGGGGCAGAAGCACGAGCTGGAGACGGCGGGCGGGGAGCCGGAGCCCGCCTCGCGCGTGTGCACCGTGCTGGTGAGCCGCTCCACGCTCCAGGTCTTCATCCAGGTACGGGGGGGGGGGGGGGGGGGGGGGGGGGGTGGGGGACGGGGACGGGGAGCGGACGGGCAGGGATTTCACCTCTAATACTCGAGACCGCCCCGAAAGTTGGGTCTCATTGCCCCACTTTACAGAGGTCTTGGGGAGAGACTTGGTTAAGGGGAAGCATTAAGAGAAGTCCAGATTTGAGACCGGGCGACCTGCCTAGTTGGCGAGCACCTCCTCTCTGGGAACCTCCAGAACCGGGAGGACACGCCCCCGAAGGGTGCCCCTGAGCAAACGCAGAACTGCGAAGGGGAGCCTGTGAGGGGAAGCCTGCGAGCCGCGTTCACATTTCTCGATTCAGTTCGGTCCAGGGAAGCACGTGCGGGCTGTAAAGTAGGTTCCTTTGGGACCAGATAGATATGAGTTGGGCCAGGAGCCACCACGTGCTAGCTGTGTGACCTTGGGCAAGTTTTTTAACCTCTCTCAACTCCTTTCTGCATTTCAGAAATATTATCCACATTGCAGAGTCTCTGTGAAGAATAAATGAGTGAATCTGTGGGAAAGTTCCAGACCTATGTACCATGTGCCTAGACCTGTATGCTGTGTTGCTGTCTGTGTGTGCAACCCACAGACAAAATTAACTCTGACAGTCTATGCTCCTCCCACTCTTGTGGGAGTGGTGAGCAAACGTTACTAGTTTGGCATTATCTGGGGAGCCTGTAAAAATATAGATTTCATGACCCACCCCAGGCTTCTGCTTTTTTATGATCATCAAAACTTGCCATCTTTAGCCCCATAACAAGGTAGAAGGTGTAATGGGATTTTGTGTGGATATAATAGCGAGGCCTGAACATTCAACATTAATGAAGGATTTCAGAAGAAATATATATACCAACTGCAGCCTTCACAAGAATATGGAAAAACGTAAAGTTAAACCCGATAGGAAAACATTCCGCTTGCTTCAGAAGTTGCTTACCACAGTCCCTATGAAGAGAATTACTCAGAACCAGCAAGGCAGGAGCCCTAATTTTTAAAAATCCACTTTCTATATCAGACATTTTTGCAGGTTGTCAAATTCCTTACCCAAATCTGGACCTGGATAAAGGACACCCAAAAAATAAATAAATAAAAATAAAATAAATAACCCCCCCCCAAACCCACCAGTAGCAGAATGGAGCTTGTTACGCAGGAACTCTAGACAGCAGCGGGAAGCAGGGGCCCCACTCACGACAGTGGGAGCTGCTCCCCTTACCACTACATCAGGTGGACTAACCATGACCTCAGACCTCAGTGGTCCAGTCCACATGCTGCCTGCCCCAATGATGGCCCAAGCACATCACAGCCACAGAGCAACATGGGACACTCATCTGCCTCCCAGCAGCCTCCACGGGGTTCTGAGCTGTAGCAGAATTATCAGGCGGGATAGTCAGTGCACGGCTGGTCCCACCTCAGGCCTGACTGTGCAGCTCTCTTCTGCACCCTGTGTGGCCATGGCAATGAACCAGCAACCACATGCTCAGAATACCTAGTAGTCAGTTCCTCCACTTCTCACAGACTGGGGTAGTGGCTTCCAGGCTGTACCTATTGCGGAGTTAGGTTTGGGGGGGGGGGAGTGTCAAGCGAGGTATATGTTGTGAATATGCCACTAGCATAGTTTACTTTAGTTGGTGCAGACTGACCAATACAATGAAAGCCATGAAATGCTCCAGGGGCAAGCCTTTGGCGTTATATGTAGTGAGTTCTTTCAGTGAAACAGCATTTTTCAAAAAATAGTGCATTAAAAAATGTTTATCTTGAGACATACAGTCTAAATTAACACAACAAAATAACCAGACTCAAATTAAGATTATTTTTTCCACCTTTTTTTTAATGTCTGATCATTGAGTTGATTCATTGTCTGTATTAATCAGTGTTTTTTGGCTGAGAGAATTGCTCATAGTTTTTGAAAGTACAAAATCTGTATAGTTTTTCCAGAAGTATTTTAAAATTCCAACGAGTAATTACTAACTTATGAATATATTTTTACCTTCAATTTCTGTCTTGGCTGGTCTTAAAGTTACAATTTGGTAGTACTATGTTGTCATTGATAAAAATCTATTTGGTTCTGCAAAAACTAAAATGATTGTCGTGTACAGTCTTATTTTCTGTTGGTGTTGCTGATCTGTGAGCATGCATTAAGATGTAAAAAACACGAATGATAACTCCTTCAAAAGGCGCAGCACCCAATTCAGATATTTTGTACTGATTTTAAAGTGCTATTAAAATGTTGTTCAGTTTTTTGAAATGTTTGCAAAGGGAAGGAAGTGAAGAGGAAAAACCCTATAACACCTATATTTTGAATTTTAAAAATTAAACATTTTTACAAAAGGTATATAAACTTGTTTTTCATAAGTCAAAGAATGTCGAACAATAATACAAGGGTTATAATGTAAAATAGCTGCCCCCTCCCGACTCCACACTCTGAGCTGTATTCTCTAGTCTAGAGGCAGCTACCATCCGTTCTCAACTCTTGCCACTCTTTGCCTCCATATTTCCAAAGAACATGCCTGCTCTATTTCTCAGTTGTAAATTTTATCCACTGTCTTAACTGTGGAAGATGAGCAGTTCGCTGTCTGACACTCACATCCCACTTCCACACACACTTCCTCTCACCATCCTTCCAGTATAATGATATCCCGCTATTGGTTAGATTGATGTTCAGTGTTTATATTATTGTGACTATGTCAACCTTCTGCACAGATGAGCCACATCATATATTTTATTGTATTTCCTTTCCAATATTGCCTTTGCTTTCCTTGCAGTTAATAATGAATAGCCTTTTGTTTCATTTGCTTGGTTTCCTCTATAGCTATTTCTAACTCATTTTCTCCTTCTCTATTGGAAGTGTGCTATTTCAATATGTTCAGACTTATCAGATAATCCACTGGTGTCCTCCCCTAGTGTTCAGGCATCCCTGGAGCCCTCTCTTCTGCCCCAGCCTAACTGGATACACAGCCGGCATCCCGAGAGGTCCGTTCCATCGCTCTGTTCCTCTGTTGGAGACCCTATTTTTAACTTTATTTTGCTGGAACATATGCTCTTGTAGCCTCCTGTGACCTGAGAAAAGGTCTATAGAAGGTAAAAAATGGAGATTTGCATGTCTGAAAGTGTTTCATTTTGTCCTCACATCTGTCATAATATGGCTGGGCATAACATTCTAAGATGGAAACCATTTCCCTCACAAACCGTAAAACAATGCTCCATCACTTTCCAGCTTCCACTGTTGCTGTGACAGAGTCTAATGCTGTTCTGGTCCCCATGCTTTGTAAGCACTCTGTTTCATCTCCCTGGAAGCTTTGAAGATCTCCTCTTTATCCCCAGGGCACTAAGAGTCATGAAAAATGTGCCTTGATTCGGATTTATTTTCATCCATAATTCAGGGCCCCCAGGCAGCTGTTCAACCTAGAAACTCGTAGTCCTGAATTTTGAGAAAATCTTCTTGAATTTTTTTTTTAAAAAAAATAATTTCATCCCCTCTGTTTTCTCTATTCTTTTTCTTTCTAGAACCGCTGTTGTTTAGATGATGAGTGTCCTAAACTAATCCTCAATGTTTTGATTGTTTCTCTTCTATTTTCATTGCACTCTCCCTACTTGCTGAGAATTTTCTCACCTTTATCTTGTAACCCTGCTGTCGCCCCCTCTCCTGCTGCTGCAGATTCCTGGGCCCGTGGGCACAGCCTGATGACCGGAGTGTCACATCTGTAACCCTTGGATTACCTTACAGGTGAACGTGCTGGTGTCCTTCGTGCTCCCCTTGGCGTTAACTGCTTTCCTGAACGGGGTCACCGTGAGCCACCTGGTGGCCCTCTGCTCCCAGGTGCCATCCACTTCTGCCCCAGGCAGCCCCTCCCCAAGCCGCGTGGAGCTAGTGAGTCAGGAGAGGAAGTCACTCTCCCTGGGGGGCCAGGCCAGCCTGGTGAGACACAAGGACGCCCGCCGGATCCGCGGCCTTCAGCACAGCATCCAGGTTCTCAGTTAAGTGCTCGGTAACAGCCCTGAGAGGAAGGGTCCGGGCTCCAGGGCTGCCTCCTCCAATCCCTGGCCAAGTGACCCTGAGCAAATACTACCTCTCCCTAGCCCTCATTTTTCTCCAGGTCCCGGGGAAACTGTACAACCACCAACAGGCTTCTGCAAGGGTCAGCGGTATCATTAAAGGAAAGAATGGGAATTCTGTACACGAAACCCTACCTGCTCCAGGGAGTGGTATAGATGGACAGGCAGATACTCGGCTACTTTTCAGGGAGTCGGGCCATATGGACGAGTACAGGGAGTAGTTATAGCTAAGGACCTGCAGACAGGGAATTGTGGACTCAGACTGGCTCGGTCCCCAAACCCATTTCCCCACCATCTCTTCACTCTCCCTCCTACGACATTGATCGGTTTGTTCTTGTAAGTATCTGGGCAAACTTGGCCTTGTAAGGGAAACTTAAAAGGCGCAGGAAAACAGAGGTCTCCCCATGCACCGTTGTAATCCAGGCACCTGCTAAGGTCTGGGAGGGGCGAGTAAGAGTCGGGGGTCTCTGCTCTCAACGCCATGGTCTGGTGCATGGGACAGAAATGTGAGAGCTAAGTGTGATGTGATGTGACAAATAACCAAAGTAGCACACGAAGGTGCCTAGACTTCCTTCCACAGACAACAGGCAGTCACTGAAAGTGTCTCGCCCGGAAATGATGGGAGATTTGCTCCTGAGATACGCTGTGCTCAGTCTTTGGAGGGTGGGCTATACCATGCTTCTCAAACTTCTGTGTGCATCAGAATGATGTGGAGAGTTTGAAACACAGACCATTGGGCCCAGCGCAGAGATTCTAATTCATTCGGCAGGTCTAGGGTGAGCCCAAGGTTCTGCATTTCTAATCAGCTCCCAGTTGATATTGATGCTGCTGGTCCAGGGACCACACAGGACTAGAGAATGGGTTTGCCAGTCAGGGCAGGAGTAGGAGGAGGGAAGGGAGGGGGTAGAAGGTTAGAGACAAAAGGGTCAATTAGGAGATTGCTGTCACAGTCCAGTGGAGAGGAGACACGGGGGCTGTGGAGGTGAGGAGGGAGGAACCAAGAGAAGAGATGCTAAGGAGGAGCTTTTTAATAAATTGGATCTAGTGGGTAATGGAAAAATAAGAAGACTCTTTGGCCTATGACCTGAGTGATAGATGGATGGTGGTGCCATCAAGCTATCACAAAAAGGGGTAGGCTTTTTTAAAATATATATAACGGCTTTATAAGGCAGAAGGACATTTAAGTTCTGTTGTCAATGCAGTTAGACAACCAGGTGGGAATATCTAGCCCTGAGTTGGGAGTCTATTCCAGTGGCTAGGAGGAGGTTATAGATGTTATAGAAGGTTCTAGAAGCATGTCGTTTTCCAGTCAGGGTTAAAGTGGACATTCACTCAGAGGACAGGGTAACACCGGGCTTGGGGACAGATCCAGATAGGAATGTATCAGGTAACCTCAGAGTTCCCTTCCAACTCCTGGAATCCAGGAACGAGTTCCAGGGAAATGCTGTTGTCGCCTCGGGCATCGTCCTCCCCCGAGGTGGCATAACTGAGAGTCTGTTTGTTCTCCGTCTGTCGCTGTCTGTCTCCCCCTAATTGTGCTGCAGGAGCCATCGTGGCCGTGTATGTCGTCTGCTGGCTGCCGTACCACGCCCGCAGGCTCATGTACTGCTATGTCTCTGATGACAAGTGGACCGAGTGAGTGTGGTAGAAGAGCCCTGGCACAGGGAGGGGGCCCCGGGCTGGGCCTGGGGTTTCCTTTGATCTCCAGAGGGACCCCCAGTTGCTGGGTCCTCTGGAACTCTGGCCCCCATTCTAGCTGGTCCTGCCAAGTCTGTTATCTCAAAATCTCCCGGCTGGGGGTGTGGAACAGAGCACTATCTCGAGACCTCTCTGAACTGGTAAGGCCGTGTAAGTGGTAGTCAGGGCTATGGGCATCCTGACTACAGGATGGAGAGCAGCCTACAGGCTTGGGGTGGGGGGTAGGGGCGACAGCCATCTTATTACAAGGTCTCGTCGGGGAGGAAGACCCGGAGCTGTGATTCCATGAGCTAACAAAGGCCCTTAGCAGACCAGACCATGCATGCCCTTTTCATGACACAGTTGGAGAAGAGAGGATCCATTGTCTTCCTTTTGGAAATCACTATGCCCCTCATCATAAGTGGCAGTCAAACATCCGAGAGAAGAGAAATCCCATGTGGCCTTCAAGGAAATAGCCGTGTCAACAGACGCTTCATTCTCTGGAGCTGCTAGTGCCCCTTACACACACCTGTGCATACACGTGCACATGCACAGCCCTTCCCACTGCAGAGAATCTCTGTGACAAGGGGCGTGGCTTCTCACAAAGACTTTCTCCTCTTAGTGAAGCCACCTCTCCTTCACCACACCCAGCAGCACAAGGCTCCCAGTGTCTCAGCGGGCTGGACGATGGGCTGTCAGTCGGCACACGTGCCCTTCACTGTGCAAGGGACTGGGAACTGCGCCCGGAGGAGGGAGGCACAGAGGCCGGGCGGAGGGCACGGCCAAGGGCAGCTGGTGTTGGTGCAACATTACGGAATTCACACTGTGCTTCCTGATGCAGAAAACAGGCCTTCCTCCCCTCGCCCTCCGGAGGAGGGAGGCGTGCTCCAGCAGAAAGGGGAGGACGCTGTGAGCAGGTGACGGGTCCTCTAACCACGCCTTCTGGGGTTCTCTTCCAGCACGCTCTACGATTTCTATCACTACTTCTACCTGGTGACCAACACGCTTTTCTACGTCAGCTCAGCAGTGACCCCTGTCCTGTACAACGTCGTGTCGTCCTCCTTCAGGAAACTCTTCCTGGAAGCCCTCAGCAACCTGTGTCGAGAGCCCCACCGCATGGAGCTGTCACCTGCGGGAGCCCCTGAGACCCACCACAATGGGTACAGCTTCAGGCTCTGGGGAGCCCCCAGAGCCCCCAACCTGAATGAAACAGAGGGCTGAACCCAGCACACAGTGATGGAGCGCCCTGTCACCTCGCATTCAGACTGGCAAGCTCGTCACTAATCATTCAAGCTGAGCAGTCAGCCTGACCCCCAGCTCTGCCACTTACCAGCCGTGTAACTGCAGACAAGTCACCTACGCCTCTTAGCCTCAGCTCCTCATCTGTATAATGGGGATGAAGAGTCCCCATCTCCCAGTGTTGTTTGAGGATTAAAGTGCTTAGCACAGGGCCTGGTGCATAATAAATAGTACATTTTCACTGGCGTTCTTCTTGTTGTGATTGTCGTTACCATTAGTATTATTGCTGTTTTTCTGCCATCCTGGAAGTCCACACATTCTTCTGTAGTTTGGTGTGCATAGGTTGTGGGCTCAGATGTCCTAAGAATTTCCACAAATGGTAAATGACAGTGCTCCTGAAGCTGATGGCATTGTTCTATCACATGAGCTGGAGCAGAATTTCCCACTCTGTCCCTGTAGCGGAGCAGCTGTTCCCACTAACGGAAGTATTCTGTAGGCTCTGGAAAGCCAGGGGTCACTAGCTTCCCTCTCCTAGCCTCTGGCCTGCGTGACTGCCTGACATGAGGCAGCAGGGGCAGCCAGCGGGATGACGGATGTGTGACCCACCTGGAAATGGCGCTGGGCTACCTGCAGCAGAGGACGAGGGCTGCAGACACGCTCTGGCAAGCACAAGCTTAGAAGAGAGTTGGATTCCATTCTTTTTGTCGGGCGGGCTCCCTCCGTTTCACCGCAGGCCTCGGTTCTCTCTATTACCTGCACGCGGCTGAGTCCCACTTGGTATGACCACCCTTGCTCCTGAAGCTTTGAGGCCTGCGCCAAGAGAGAAATGGCCATTTTTCCCTTGAGTGTCCAGAAGCAGTTAAACCATAGGTCTGTGAGCGGGAGCAGAATAGAAGGACCAAGACAAGGCTCTTTCTGATCAACTGTGTTGATACTTCCCTGAACTCTGTCCACCTCCTGATCCACTGTCACCCAACCACCCCACTCTGGTCACTAGCACCTGCACACACATATCACGTGCTCACGCATCACATGCACACACGTCATGTGCACACACATACATGCACACAGTCACATTACATGCCCACACATCACATGTACACATCACACCCATCACATGCACACCCATCACATGCACACCCATCACATGCACACAATCACATACATGTGTACACACATCACACACACACATCACAGATAGCATATGCACAGACACCTGAACTGGTACCCTGTTTGAGATGAGAGGCTAGAAGGGGCAAAGGAAGACGAGAAATGCAGCCAGGAGGAGGAAGGCCCAGCCTGGGCACGTGGACTGGGATCTCCAGATACAGGTGCACCAGGGGTTAGGGCTTCCACAAATGAATTTGGGGGGGAGGCAAACACAGTAACCCCACAACAGCCTGTTAAAGTTGTTAGAGGATATGTTGTATGTGTACCATGTTACTTTTCCAAAAGTCAAAAAACTATGAACTTCAAAATACACGTGGCCCCAAGGGTTTCAGATAAGGGACTGTGGATCTGTAGGACCTAATAAGAAGTGTATGATGATTAAATGAGATGAAGAATGGAAAATCCCTCTCACAAGCCTGGCATGTAGTAATTGTTCAATAAACACTAGTTGTCATTATTGCCATCATCAGCATTCTGGACCCCAAACTTGGTCAAACCTGTAAGATGCCCCTTACAGCAGGCCCTGTGAATGAGGCCTACCCTCTCAGCTACATGTTGCCAAAACACAGCAAAGGACGATAGAACCAAAATTTAAGGAAAAACAAATTGAGAAAACAATTTAAGAAAACACGGGTGATAAGGAGTTACTTTACATGGTATCCAAAGATCTCATGCAAATCATGAAGCAAACACCAAGACTCCAAAGGCTGAGAAACACATGAGAGGAAATATGTTCAGTCTCAATAATTCCTAAAGAATCCATGATTAAAACAATTGTGATGCAACATTTTATGGCTAATATATAAATTAAAATGTTCATCTGCACTTAGGTTGTTCCCAAGTCTTGTCTGTTGTGAATAATGCTGCAATGAACATCAGGGTGCATATGAAGATGTGGTATCTATATAATGGAATACTACTCAGCCATAAAGAAGAAGAAAACTTGCCACTGGCGACAACATGGATGGACCTTGAGGGTATTATGCTAAGTGAAATAAGTCAGAGGGAGAAAGTCAAACACCATATGATTTCACTCATAAATAGAAGATAAAAACAACGACAAACAAACACATAGAGACAGCACAGATTGGTGGTTACCAGGGGGAAAGAAGACGGGTTGGGTAAAGGGGTAAAGGGGCACACGTGTATGATGTCAGATGGCAACTAGACTTTTGGTGGGGAACACGATGTAGTCCATACAGAAGGTGAAATATAATCACGTACAGCTGAAATTTATAAAATGTTATAAATCAATGTTACCTCAACAAACAAATAATTTTTAAAAATATCAATGACAAGAACAAATGTTGCCACCAGAAATCAGGTGTGATCAAAATGCTCACACACTGGAGGGAGAGAAAATTGGATAACCCTCTTGGAAAGGAAATTAGCAATAAATTTTGAAAGCAACAGAAGCGTTCAAAAACTCAGACTCTGTATTTCAACTCCTAGAATTTTATTTTAAAGCCATTTGCCAGGAAGACAAAGTTCTCTGGGAGCACACGGGTTTGCTGCCGCGCTCTCGATGGGCATTTACGAGCAGGCACTGGGCCAAGTACAGAAATTGCTCACAATGCCTAACCCTCACGGCCTCGACTGGAAGTGCTATCATTTCCATTGCCATGTTACACGCAAGGAAACGGAAGCAAAGAGAAGTTCAGAAAGCGTTTTCCCCGACCACCAGGTAAGCTGGGCCTCGGGAGCCAGGCGCTCACTGCGGCATCCTGCCGCTCTCCAAGGGTTTGATGGCAAAAGAGGATAAGACACTAGAGGCTCAACATTAAGGAAGTGAGTGAATCATGATAATCCACTCAGACGAATCTACGTGTTAGGCTGCCATAAATAATCAGACATTAATAACAAGCATAAACACTGTGGTCATACGATTAACTAAAAAAGAAAACAATACAAAATGATATTACATTATGAACAAATCATTCAGATCCAGAGAAAAGGTCTGGAACGAAGCACTTTGGTCAGTTTGCCAAGGAGGCGTGAGTGACCTAAGAACAGAGGCGGTTTCTGTCATCGTTATCCCAGGATCTGAGCATCACGGTGCCCAGCAAGCGGCAGACACCAGAAACGTCTGGTGGCAGAAGGACTGTGAAACCTGTTTCTTTCTAATTTTTTTTAATAACACTTTTTTTTTTCTGCTTTATCTCCCCAACCGCCCCCCCCCCCCGTACATAGCTGTATATCCTAGTTGCAGGTCCTTCTAGTTGTGGCATGTGGGACGCCGCCTCAACGTGGCCTGACGAGCGGTGCCATGTCCCAGGATCTGAACCCTGGGCCGCCGCAGCGGAGCGCGCGAACTTAACCACTCAGCCACGGAGCCGGCCCCTCTAATTTGCTGATATAATATTATTTGTATAATATCTAACCAAATTTCAAATAGAAATTAAGTTCCCTTGCTGTGTCACAGGTGGTGGCACTCGGATTGGCTAAAGAGCCTGGGGTCTGGGGTCAGGAAGGCCTGGGGACGGATGCCGCCTCTGTCACTTATTAGTTATATGACTTAATCAGCTTCCTTCGTCTGCTTGGGCGTCTTGTTCACATCTGTGCAACAGACATTATAACAACCATCCTCTGGGTTTTAAGAATTAAATGACATCATAAATACAAAAAAAGGCTTGAAAAAGTATAGTACCTAGCACCCCGAAAAGCTCAATAAGTAGTGGCTGTCATTAATATAACGGGAAGCTCTCCTGAATATCTTTATAATCCTGCATTTTAAAAAATTAAGCCGTATCTGTTTATGTGGTTGTCTAGTCTATTTGTTTGCTTGGCCAAGATCAAGAGACCCCAAAAGCGTTCCTTGCATCAGTCTCAGTCCTACAGCCATGACTTCCTCAGCACCAGAAGCCCAGGAAGCTTTCACCAAACTCGGAAAGATGAAGAACGCGTTGATGCCTGTATCCGTTTCTTAGGGCTGCCATACAAAGCCCCACAAAGTGGGTGGATTCAAACAACAGGAGTTTATTCTCTCCCAGTTCTGGAAGCGACAAGTTCAAAAACAAGGTGTCAGCAGGGCCATGCTCTCCAAAAACTGTCGGGAAGAAGCCGTCCGGGCCCCTTCCAGCGTCTGGTGGTTCCCACCATCCCTGGCACTCGTTGGCCTGGAGGTGCACGGCTCCCATCTCTGTCTCTGTGGTCACATGACGTCCTCCCTCTGTTCTCCTCCTCTTAAGGACACCAGTCATACTGCATGAGGGGCTCACTTCACTCCAGTAAGATCTCATCTCAACTAATTACATCAGCAACGACTCTATCTCCAAACAAAGCCGCATTCTGAAGTGCTGGGGGTTAGGACCTCAACATATCTTTTTGGGGGACACAATTCGACTTATACGCCACCCACACCCACCCTTCTTAGTAGAGTGGATTGCCACCCTGGGGAAGACCCTTTCACAGAGCCAGAACCAGAATTGGAGCCACCAGAGACCCTAAGAGAAAAACCAGCGCTCACCCAAGTTTCAGAAAGAAAAGCAAAGGGAAACTGGGGCAGCATATTCAGCGAATGACAAATGCAGCCAGAGAATCCGTGTTTCTTCTCTAGACATGAAGGGCTTAAAAACTCTGTGCTGGCCTCCCAACCGTTTTAATTAAAATGCTAATTCCTTCTGAGCCGGGAAGTCTGCCTAAGCGAGTAGACTGAAAAAGAAGTGAAAGCTGTGCAAGTTGAACGTGCCCTTGGCTCACGGTCTTCCCTTAAAAAAGAACCGTCTGCAGAATCTGAAGCCGGACCTGGGAGGTTTCATGCAAACTTTTTTATTAAAAGTGGTTTCTAAACCTTAAGGCTGGGATTGCCTAGATTCTGGATGCTATATAACATAGTATATTTGGTATATGCTCACATCTAGCACCACCTCCAACAGGCAACTCAACACCTCTCCCAATGAGAAAAGCTGGGATCAGTACTTTGTGCACAGAACTTTAGGAGCCCACGGTGCCTTCTAATACGTGGTGTTTGGTGGAAGTAAATTACTCCAGACAGGAGGCAGCTGTGATGTTAGTGGAACTATCCCATTAACTCACAGGCATGAATCTAGATTTGTTGTCACTCGAGAGCTGTGTGA